AAACACTTCATATGAAATTAACCTGGACAAAATGATCGAATCTTTTCATCCAAATGTAAATAGATAAGTATTACGCTCTCAATGCTCCTTACATAATGATCGAAATTAGCGAGATATACCCAATTTGAAGGTAAATTTTTATTTTTCTGCACAATTTTAAAGTAAATTAATATAATATAAATTTTATTAAAATGATTATAAGATAAAATAGTAATGTATTGTATTTTAGAGCGGAATTGGTGTTAGTTCACGATCACGAGGGGAACCGAACACTTTCCAGCTTTCGAGTTCTGTCCCAATCCGCCTTCATTTTCGAAGTGCCTCCACAACCGCTCCTCCGTCGAATATCGCCCTTACATCAACTGGTCGTGCGTTAGGAATTTCTGGAGGCCATTCAGGTGGTCCAAAAGGTAGAAAATATCAACGAAGTGTTAGCTGCAAGTTTCCATGCTCCACGAATCGTCTGCCTTATCCACCAGATACAACAAACCTCCCTCCACCGTGTATTCGTTCCTTCTCACTTGACTTCCATGCTGAATTCGATGAGGGCTCGGGGATTGTGTATGGGTCTGGTGGAGCGCTTTTCGCCACAATTGTCAGAGTGCTATCACAATTAAAATGCCTTCGGAGTCTCTATCTACGCAACTTGTTTCTTTCGCAGCATGACGCAAGGCAGTTGCTGATTGAAGTCTCCACAGTATGTTAGATTCCGCATATGAACTATCAAAAAAACAATTAATTTGTCAAATGTGAAGAGTTTTTTTTTCTGAGGAGAAAATATTTTTTTGTCAAAAAGCTTCTCTTCCTTTTGTGTCACTTTCATTTCAATCTTAAGATAATGAATTATTTAGACCGTAAAGTAGGAAGGTTATGTGTTATTACTTTTATATTGTAAAATTCAATCGAATTTTCGGTTTCCAAGCATATCTTTCTACAATGTATTTTGTCAATTTTATGCTTCAGAAATTTCTAACAACTACAACATTTGGTTCTTAGACTCTAAAGGTAAATGGGTTTCTGATTAGTTGTTAAGTGGATGCCATAAGGAAAGCACGTTTTTTATCAAGGTTTAATTCACTTGCTCTTTTATCGATTTTCCGTCATCTATTATTCCTATGCCTATATTTAGTTGGTTTCAGCAAACTAAATTCGATGCATATAAAAGTAATTTAACCTTCGCCTATTAATAAACCAATTATCGCTGCAATTATGTCTATCTGGGGAGCCAACCATTTACCACGTTTCCGGATATCAATATATTTTATGTACAAATTCTATCTCTTATAAAACTAGAGTCTAAACTACCGTTTTTTCTTCCTCTTCTTTCTGAATAGTTTTAGCTTTATAAATGTTAATTTGGTCTTAAGTTAGTTGCAAAAATGTAATTTGGACAAGGGGATTAAAGAAAGTTTGAAGAAATGTGTTCTGAAAACACTTATTCCCATAGCATTAACTGCACTGATAACTTGAGTTCTGGTCATTTAGAGCTTCGCTTTGAAGATGAAAAGACGGCAAATGCTGTAACCTTAGATTTTTTGGAGGAAAGAAGGTTCGAAATCATTTATAATCTTATTTTCAACAAAAAGCTAAATTGACTCAGTTAGCTAAAAGTAGCTTAGTCAAAATTGTCCTCAGGGTGGCGACTGTATATCTTAAAAATTGTTTTTCCTGCCCATACCCAAAAATCAAGTTTCTTCAATATTCTATTGGAGAGCAAATAAGTAACCAATCGTTCACATTTACCCAAAGTCATATCCACCAAATTGGACTTTCATAATAGTCGGTTGCTGAGTTACAGGTCTCTAAATTCCTTTTTTATTTATTTTCGGTTCCTATCCACTTTTTTCCCAATGGATTGATTTACATTTCAGAACCGGATTCTTAATTGTCGAAATGGCTTTATATACACGGCATTCATAGTTTGTCACTCAGGTACTTAACTAATTGGCTGGTCATGACATTGCCTCTATTAGCAAAGAGCAATCACTTGTACGCTGCTGCCGTATGCAATGGTCTTCAATTAAATTAAATACTTCCAACTTTCCATTATTTTTAAAATATACAAAGCTTGGACAAGTTTAATGCCTATTTCATTCCACTTCACTGTGAGTATAGTAAAACAATTATTGAAGGTGCCCTTCTTTTTTAGGTTGCCGGTCCCACTTTGGAAAGAGTTAGCCTTCTTCACGTTTGTAAAATAAACCACGAACGCCATAATATGGAAGTAGCTCACCAAGGCGGAGATAGTCATTTTGATTCCCCTTCGGTAATTACGTCGAATACAACTAATACCACAGAAGGCAGCTCGTCGAACGATGTTGATAGATATTGGTATTTGAGGGATGCCCGGTGGTTGGGTGCAAGACCTCGTCTCCTGGGGTGGAACCCACTTGCTGATATTTTTGCTCTCTTTCCTAATCTCAGTCATCTGGAGATTGCTCTTACTCAACTGACTGGACCAATGCTCCTACGTTTGATCTATCAGACTCAATTAACTGTGCTAATTCTTACCCAGGTAGGATTTAGAAATGTACTTCTAGACGTTCTTCTAGTATTTTAAGATATACTGAATAATCGTAGGTCATTTGATAGAACTGTTATTGGTGAATTTGTGGTAATATTTTATCGAATCCTCAATGTTTTTTCTCATTAAGGAAAGAGATAAGCATGCAGCGGTACACGATTAACACTTCTTACTATCAATTGGGGTTCCCGCTGTAATGATGTGCCAATCGTAAGCCCGAGTTTGTTAAAGGTCCATTCGTCAGCCGATAAAACATCAGTTTCAACGAGAAGTGTGAAATTTAATTAAATGCGTCTATTTAATTGAACGAAATTGTCTTTGGATCATTTCTCGAATACAGAATGTGATCAGACGGATGAGTAAGATTGAGTCTTTAATTCAACATAATTGATAGAAGAAGGTGTTTGGCCATTACAGGAGCTCCTGTTAGTTTAAATATCAAGATTATCGACTGTTTTGCAATCACTGCAGATCATTAACTGTCAAATGCATCGGTACACACATCCATTTCGCTTTCGTGCATTTGTACATTGAATTCAATCCTCTTTCAGCTGGTATTCCAATAAACAAGCTGTTGCCAGGGTGTTTCAGTCCTAAAGTGTACTTTCATAATTAAACTTTAGGTGATCGGATTAAATGGATCATCGAACAGTTGAAAATAATGTTTGAATGAGTGAAATCACTCCTCCTGCGATTTAAATGAATACCATGAATTTAAATAATCTAATTAAGGCGCAAATAAACGACAGGCTACATTTTCGAGATTCTGAACGCACTCACTATATACATATAAGCAATTCTAATAAAAATACTTTTTACCCTTATTCTGCTTGTTTGTAATTTGCTTTTTTGCATTTTTAACGCATGGCATGCATTTTTTTTCTATTTCAGCTTGTATGCCTTGGTAAGTTTTGGTGTTGTTTCGCCTTTTATGCGTGTTCCCAATTACCTAATTCAATTAACTATGCATCTCAATATAATACCTTATAGTTCAAAAAACTGCTCTTTAACGAGTCCTAATGGCATTATCCTACCATTCTCTTCTTTTCGCATTGTTTAAATACCACATATTCTGGTCACCCTTAGAATATAGTTATGACAGGATTAACATTTCTATTGAATGTCCTGGCTGAAGATAGCCATGCTCTACTTGTAATAAACCATTTAAATGACGACTCTAAATGATGGGTGCATTGGCCTATATGAGTGATAGATTATATAAAGCATAGAAAATGAAGAGGTGCCAACTTGAGTAACTGAAGTAGGGGTCATGCTTGGGTGAAGAGACTCGAGCTACGCCACAATAATAGCTATCCTTGGAATACGCAGTCACTCAAGCTACCTAGACGTGCAAATAATCTTTCCATAAAGCCTCAAATTTCCTTATTTTTTTATGAAATTGTTCTATCTACTTTCATTCTAATTTTTATTCTTCTAGTCTACTTGGTCATTTCTTAACATCCTATCATATCTTTTATTAGCAGTCGAGAGCTCTAATCTGGCATAAGCCTAAATAGAATTCGTTTGTTCTTTGTTCTTCATGATCATCTTTTCGTAGACGGATTTATCCCCACGTTGGATGGAGTACCTACAGAACGAGGAGGGATCTGTAAATATCGTGAGTCGGGAGGGTATGAATGCAGTTGCTGATCAGACAGTCAGTCACACAAGCGATGAATACTTTGTCGATTGGGGTGCCGATGTTCCGATTGTTCGCCACGGTATTGCCGCCTCCTCTTCTGATCCCCCAGCTGCAATGGGAATCCCTGGCGGTTCTGATTTCTGGTGTCCAGTGGCCCCTGAAATATGGCGACGTGCGGTACTCATGCGTCCCTCGCTGAGGGTTCATGTTCGTCTGAGATTTCTCTATTCACGAGCCACGTCGGAGTTGAATGTACTTGCGTTGCCCGCCCTTCCTGCACCTCTAGTTTCTATTGTTTGCGTTTTTGGGTGTGGAGATCAGATGGCAACCTATCGTCTGATTGAGAGAGCAATCCCACATATTGCGCAATATGCTGATACGCTACTGGATATCGTTCTACTTACTGAGGTTAGCTTCCTTATTTAGTAATTTTGTGATGCATTTAATGAGTACAACGTTAGTAGGGTATTCGAACTAGCCAAATCATCTAAACTTATGCAAGGAAACTAGTTGGGTTTACATTAATATTTGAAATGAAGAACTAGACCAAATATCCTTTATTATATTTAGAATTGAAATCTATGTAGAATCGAAACGTGGAATTATTACCCGACGTCCTACCTTGATCATTCCTATGCTGGCCTAATACATGTTTTGCCAATGAAAAGTCATATTTCTTACCAAAATGTAAATACCAATGTATATATAAGGGAAATAGCTTAATTTGACGTAGAAATGTCGTAGGATCTGGATAGATTATTAACTTATTTCACCTTGACTTGTTTTTTGCCTAAAAATGTTTAGACCTACCCCGGTCAGATTGCATTTTAAATTGTACAGATATGGCTTAGTCTCATTTGTATATCCTTTTTTCACCCATTGGTCAATTCTAATCCACTTGGAAAAGATCTGAAGTTAATATGTGAAAGTGAAGTCATGTATTTTTGTATTATTTTCTCTCTTTCAGACTTTGATTGATCAATTCTCACTACTAGTTTAAGCTATCAAAAGTTCAATCGAGGTATTTTTTGACAAATTCATGTTGGAATTCGTTAATTGATTCCGAAATTTAAACTCATGAAGAAAGCACTTGAATACCTGTTAAGTGTTTTTTGGAAGCTCAAATTCAGCTAAAATGTGCTGGATGTACCACCTGATCCGTTTTCATTGTTTTAAATAGCAAATGTGGTTACATATTGTGTAACTTTATCATCACATGCTATTGAATTGCCATAAAATCAATATTGAATGATATTTTGGAAGACCTGATTCGAATGTTAGGTAGTCACCTTTCAAGTTTACTATAAAAGTAAAAAATATTAAAATTAATAGATTAATTGTTATTAAGCTATGCATTTCTTTTTAATTTTTTTCAGTTGGATTTAGAAGCAGTAGAATCGGAGGAGCGAGAAAAGGAACAGCTAGCGCGTCTGCGTGGAAAGAAGCTCGTTTTCTCTTACCAAAACCGTCAAAAGCGACGTCAGATAACCCCTACAAAGGATATCGTTCCACAAGCCCTAGACGAACAGCTTCTCAATCTCCTCAACGCTTGTCCCAATGTTTCCTCTTTGAGTATCGGCGGTCGTCTATTGAACGTTCATCTAACTACTGCAAGTCAAATCTGTCGTCTCTTGGTAAAGGCGGCTCGAGCTTGTCCTAGAACTGGTCCCAGTGGACAAAAACCAGCTTTGTATATTGATGCTGGATCAATTCGATTCAGTGGGCCTATTCCCGAATCAGCTAGTGAAAGGGATTCAAGCATCTTCCTCGAACTAATGAGAGATTGTCGAGGTAAGGAGGTTGATTCACCTGCTGCTAGGCAACGTGCTGCCGAATGTTTGATTGCTGCCACTTTGGGGTCTCCTAGGTGGCATTTCCTTCAGACTGAAGATTTTCGACGCCATGTGCTCCACTATCCGGCTGTTTAATTGTTTTTATCATCTATCTTACGTTATCTCAATATGCGTTTTATCTCATGCCCTGTTTAAGATAATGGCATTACATGACATAACTCATGTGCTAACTTTGCGTTACAGTGTGCGCATTTATGTATGGATGTTGATGCATTCAGTAAAATATTGTTGTATTAAATAGTTTGAATAACTCCTTTATGGGACTATATTTTGTGACAATAGTATGAGATTCGAGTTAAAGCATACGATTGCACTGCCTAAAAGAGATAAATGAAGTAAAAATGCTCGACAAATTGACTGCTATTCTTCTATATTCAAAAGCAGACTATGGTTGTAGACACTTTTAGGGTCTTCCCAGGTGAAGGGGTTCTTAGTGGATGTACAACGAAACATTTAGGCCGAAATGCTTTTAATAAGTGAAATAAGTAAATGGTATCCAGTCCATTAATGGAAGCTGAAAAATGGACTTATTTATTACATTAACCTTGATTAATCACTAAAAAATAATTCAGGGTAAGTTTGCTAATTACATAGTTCGAGTACACGATATACAAATAATAACTGAAATTCATCTCAAGTCATGTTCACAAGTTTGAAATCAGGAAACCCGTCGAAACTTTTTTCACTTGCAGGTATATTAATCATGTATTATAGAACCGTAATTTGTTTTCCCTCACAAATTTTATTTAAACATGTAAGATCTTATAAAACTAAATTCATTGAATACGAAATAGAGTGGAAAAAGATAATTGGGGTTTAAATGTGAATTAACGGAGAAATTCTGGCATATTTCATAACATAGTCTTGAAGGCACGCAGTAAACAAGTTTAGTCGATTTTCGCAAGGCAAATGTATATAAATGAACAAAAATGCTAATTAATATTCTAATTTAATGTTCTTTCCCAGTGGGCACGCTCATGATTCTCTAATGGGTTCTAAGGATATTCATTCTTATACGAAATGACCAAAAGATTATTCTCGTAAGACTAATAAGTTTTAACGAATTTGCCCAACTTATTCCTCCCCTGTTATTAGAATAAGCATATTCCAACTGCTCTTTGCAGTATTTCTCCACTGCCTGTTTTGGAAAGGCAAAGGCGTAATTGTTTAAGCAATCTAATCGCATTAAATACTGAGGAGATAAAATGACTAAAATTAGTGCGTATAATCAAGATATAAAAAAGAATGAACCATAATTATGTTTTTTAATTTAATAAAGATTTAACCCCGAAATTAATATTCGGTGAAGAATTGATTATTGGTGCTTACTGCATACGAAATGTCGGACTTAAAACATTTAACCTTGACGCCTTTGTCAAAATTAGCGTCATTATAAAACCTTAGTTATTTTTAGGCTAACTAGACCAGTTGGTCATAATGAACGATACTAGTAAATTTGCTTAAAATGACTTTGGAGAGTACTGTGGAATACGAGCCAATCGAAAATTATTTTGATCAGTTTTGCGCATCAACTACCTATGAAGGAATACATTCCTCATTTCTGCGGCTATGTGATGCGGCAAATTTACGTTCTCTTCCAGGTTGTGGACAGTTTTATCGAGAATTACGTCAGCGACTTTCGTTTTACTGGAAAGCTGAAGCTCTATTTACGAGCTTGGACTTAAGGTTTAATGAAGTGACATACGCTGATCAGACTATCTGTAAAAACATTCAGGTGAGAATTAACCATTATTTATGTATTTTATGTTATTCAACTTTAAAGTTTTATTTGATCATGTCATTTATGCTTAGGTCTTAGTGGTTGGCTTTGGTCCTTGTGGATTACGTTCTGCCATCGAACTAGCCCTGTTAGGAGCCAATGTGGTGGTTATTGATAAGAGAACATCGTTCTCCCGGTAATTTCATCCTTATTTCATTAGATCTTGCTTTATTACGTTTGATAGTGTATTCTTCTTATTGCTCAATTGGTGTTTTTAACGTATCTTCTCCGGTATCAGCACATATGTGCGCAACACCTCCCTAATTACAATCTGATTAGCATATATAATGAGTCGGTTGCTATTGTGATTTTCTTTTACTTACATCATAGCTCATACTTGCCTACCATGCGACTAATTATGCTCCATGTTACTGTGATTTCGTAAGACCGGTCTCTTGATCATTCTCGAGTTCGTTTTCGTAGTCCATTTATGAAATCTACACTCCTTCTAAGCCTTCCTCAAACAATGGATGCTCAGTTAGACTAGATATAGAATTTTCATTTATAAAAAAGAACCCCTTGACGGTTTCTATATTGGTTAGATTCGTTTCTAGCGGATCATATGGCCCTAAAATTTGATTGAAATTTACTCTGAACTTCTCAATACCTCAAAGTTTTGATATCCTTAAAATTAGGCTTAGATGGAGTTTTGAATAGGAACTGTCCATATTGAAGCTAAATAAATGCAGAATCTTGGTAAAACTGTTAACAATGCTTGTCTTTCACTAACAATAAACACTTTTAAATTTCCTTTGTCATATTGAGATAAGGAGGTGTTAAAAATAGATCTTTTTCATTTTTTATACCACTTTACACTCGAGGAATTTACTTAAGGTTGGTATGGAGTTACAATAAACTATTGCATTTTATTTCAAATATCGGTGAATTTATAAAAAATTAACCTTAAAGGGTCTTTTTCTGTTTCATCTAATATGTGTGAGAATTTTTTAAAATTTTCTAATAGTTCATTCGAAGTAATTACTAGCCTGATGTACATTGCTTCACCCAATCTTCAAGTCTTGCAATTTGCGCTGTCAGCATCCCAGTCCCAATTGTATTTTAAAAGTCATTAGATTTTAATCGTCATTCCATTTGCTTTAATTACGTGCTCGGCTGTGCTATAGCCATATTTGCTGATTGGTAACCTTTGAAAGGAAAATGTGAAAAAAGTTGAGACTGATCGTCGTGAACAAACTCGGTCAATGAGTAAAACATACCGTGACCTAGAACTTACCTGATAATTCAGTTGACGAATCTTGAACTTTAGCATCTGAAAATCGAACATCAATGCAAAATGAATCCGTAAAAATCGCATGAAAACCCCCTTATGCTTTAACATTATTCTCAGCATCTTATCCTTCATCCCCCTCTTCAACTCTCCATGCTCACCTCACCCTTTTATTAATTGCCTAGTTTCGGCTTACCGTGGTTAATAAGCACTATATGGGCTAAGCATTTCAAATTTTTATTTCGTCTTAGAAACAATGTGCTTCACTTGTGGCCCTATCTCATCAGCGACTTGAAGTCTCTCGGCGCCAAGTCGTTTTTTGGTAAATTTTGCGCCGGTTCAATCGATCACATCAGTAAGTTTCTCTCCTTTTTCGGACGCCTTTTCCCTCTATTGAGCTAATTGCACATTTGGTTAAATCAAAATGTCATTTTTAAATCCATTTAGAGCTTTTGACCACATGTTTTAACCAAAGCATGTTTATGTAATTAACTGTGTGCATTTCTAAGTAGGCTAATAGTGCGCATGTGAGACGGTTCTTTTATCTTGCGCATTTAAACGAGATACCTTTTTTGAGAAAATATTTGAGTATACGTTTCATAACCCAATTGCAATGTATACGAAGAAGAAAAGGACGGTAAATTTGCCACTTAAGTCTTGTAACTAGGATTTGAAGCTGGCTTCACTTGTAGTTGGGTTGTTTATATCCAAAAATTGTTTTAAATGAGCTTCAGAAACCGCTTGATTGGGACTTTTTTGTCGTGGTAAATACATGTTAGCTCTCAAATGGGGGAAATATTAGTGTTAATTTACGTTTTCTTAGTTTAAATGTCACACTCCAGAGGAAAGCATTAATCCGAATCTACCAAGTATATAAGCTTTTGCGATGTGTAATTCTCACTTTTAGAGCTATAGATCGTTTGGTAGAATAGGCTAACAGAATTTTCTCATCTAATTACAAAGACAACAGGTTGAAAATATATCTTTTTGTGTATATTTTTAGCTTAAACTTATTATACAGATATTTTTATGCATTGGAAAAGTTATTGTACTGTAATGCAGAAGTGCCTTTGAAGTATTCGAAAATAAATGATGTTTTCATTTGACGGGAACATTTCTTTGTTGGCCATTATTGATAATGCGGTCAGGGGAGAAGAGTTAAGTTAAATTTACCGTGTAATGCGAATCAACATTGGTATCTCATTGTCTCAAATGCCTTCGTATGTCTTGGGTAAGTCAAACATACCCAGTTCGCTTTGAGTTTGCTTTGAGATGATAAAGCAACTGCAGTAATAATGGAAGACATTGACGACTGCTAAATTATTGCATGCGTTTCTCCGAAGTTGTCAGAAACGATCAATTCGTTAGATGATTAGGCTTAAACTGCGTCGTTTCTTCCTATCTTAAGAATTCTAGAGCTGTTAGTCCGTGGAAGATAAGTTGGCCGAATAGCAAAATCGAGCATAACGCATGCTAAGGCATCCACCTCCTTATTTTACTCACTTAATAGCCCTGATGATTCACACTACTTTGTTTTTCATCTTTCGAGGTATTCGGACACTGCAGTGTATTCTCCTTAAAGTGGCCTTGCTTTTTGGCGTCCAGATCGTTTCAGGTGTGGAATTTCAAAGACTCATCCAACCATCAGGTAAATTCCTGCGTTAAATTGTCTTGTACCAAACAGGGGACCTGTTTGAGGTGATGACTTGCAGCTTTTAGTTGAAATTGGCTTCTTCCTGAGGAATACAGGAAAGAAATTTACTCGAAACATATAAGTGATTAGAAAAATAGTCCTTTACACTTATTCAATTTTATCATTCGGAAAGCTGGTCTTCGTGGAGCCTAAGTTGCAGAATTTCCATTTATTTAGCTCAATAGAAACACATAACCTCTATATGGCGAATATACTGATTGGTTCATACTATTTTACATACCCTCAAAATCGTTGCAAATTCGAAATAGTTTCACTAAAATCGGTTGCAATCTTGAAAATCTTAGTGAGCGAATACCTTGTCCAAGTAACAAAGCTAAGTTTGAGTTCGATTCAGAGTAAGTCATACTACTAACTTACATTAACTGAACCAATAAAATGTGTTATTTAACCTCTTTAATCGATGTCTCTATATGGTCTCGTAGTTTGAAAAGCTATTTGTGCTAGTTCATTGGGATTTTTTTATATTTTGAGAATGAGTCGCACGTTGAAGGCATTTCAGCTGGAAACATTTCATGGAGGGGAAACGTAATAGCACTATACCTCTTTTAATCACTTGCTTAACAAGCAACTGGAATGGTGTGGCCCTTCCACACCAATGGCCACCCGAACCAAACATGTTATTTACACTTGAACATTATAATGCGCAAATGACGAGGGGCGTTTTAAGCATTAAGAACATTATTTATTTCAAATGGCTGACTTTATGATAGTTATCATTGCCCATTTAGTTGACTTCGGGCTTAATAGATTGGAGGAACATCAAAGTGATTCATAGATGTAAAAGAGACAGACGCAAAGGCAGTGAAAAAGGTAGGATGAGCACTGTGAAAGCGGTCGAATATGACATACAGTGGGGTTTGAAGTCAGAAGTCAACTGCCGGTTAATAGACTTTTTGCCGTATGAGTATACGTTGCCCAGGGTGCACCACGTGGAGGTAAGTCTATCGCGCATCCCATTAAGTTCTTTATTTTTTTCAATAATCCTGTATTAGTAGTATCCACACTAGCAACCATAGTCTTAACATAACGAAGATGTGATAGCTAGATACGCTAACTCAAAGAAGGTCCATTCGCTATTTTGAATAGTTCTGATAGCAATAAGGCTTTGGAAGTCAAAAAGTTTTTCTGACAATTTCAGCTTGGGGTTCTTTTATTCTGATCTATGAGGAGATTTAAACTGAATGGCCTGTGTGAACTTTATAACCGGTTGAAACTACACCCTTCAATCTTCTTATGGAAGTACTAGTTATTAAGTGATGTGAGAAATTCTGGTCACATTGATATTGTATACTTTCAAGAGCTTATCTCATAAACCTTTAATCATTTGCCACTCACTCGAATAGATGCCTGTCATCTTTCAGACTGACCAATGAGGGAATCTTCTAGGTTGTAACGTTCTGGTTTCTCATCTGCATTTGTGCTACTAACTTCAGAAAGTTGATAAAGCATTCTTAACCCATATCAGGATAATTAATGGATAGGGCTACTGAAATCACAAATAAATAACTTCGAAATCCTATTTAATCCACTGAACTTCGGGATTATTTATGCATGCAGCTTCTAAGGAACGCGCTTGGGACGTTGTACTAACATGGTATTTTGAAAATTCTAATAAGTGTCATCGGCGGCCTGCATTTTGAAGCCCCTGATTGCATTGCTTTACTCATTAAATATTGAACCTTCTTTCTCGTAGATGATAACGCCAATGATGGATATCTGAGCAATGGTGTCATTTCCAATGAGATGAACGGAGGAAAGCCAATGGGTGAGGAAAATGTTCGTCCTCTGAGGAATTTATTTACCCTTTACACGGGCCAGTCGGCTCGTTATGGTTGGCGTGCGGAAGTAAGCCCCTACCTCGAAGCTCTATCAACCTTTGAGTTTGAAGCCATCATCGATGCCTCAGGGAAATCAAACTCCTGCTTAAGTAAGTCGTGTTTGTGCTCGATATTTTCTTTTGGTTTTTGAAATCTTTTAAACATTCTGCTAACTGCTTGAATTAAGATCCAAGTTGTAAAGTTAGTGACAACAGAATTGACTTTTTGGTCAATAAAAAATTGTATTGGCTAAAGCTATCAAAACAGGTGAACAATAAAGACATGAATTTGTGCACAGAAATAGCAATTGTGGCAGTACTTAATAAATATTAATTTATTTATATCAAATGCCGGGCTTTATGATCGTTATCATTAGTCCTTTTGTTGCCTTCAGGCTTCACAAATGAAGGGGAACATCAAAAAGACAAAAAATCGAGGGGTTGGGGAATGGAAGAATAATTCACAGATGCGAAAGAGACAGATAAGCATAAATGGAAGGAAAAAGAGAAGATGGATACTGTGGAAGTGGTGGTATATGACATATAGTCGGGTGATGATATTTTTAAGTCAAAAATCAGCTGCCGGTTTATACTTTTTTGCCATAAGAGAATACGTTATCCAGGGTGCATAACTTCGCATAACTTCGTTTTCCAACCGAATCCATTTAGCCATGGAGGTGTTTTATTCTCCGACTAGTTACTTTTTTCCCAAAATTGGGCCAAAATACGTGCAACCGTTGTATGTCAATTCTTATTCAATGAAATTGATTCGATGCTAACAGAACTAATCTCTTCACTGGACATATTACTTTCATTCTCACTTGCATAGGATTTCTCCTTTAGACAACTATTTTAACCGATCGGAATGTTGATCATTTAATCAGCACACAATTTCGTTGCCCTTCATATTGGTAACTTTGCTCTACTTTCTTGTGGAAGTTGTGGGGATCGGAAAAGATTCCCTCATGTCTGATTTTGCGCAAAAGTAGCTATTGCCTTTCCTCTAACTTTGCCTCGCTGATTATTTTGTCCAAATTTTGTGCTATCTACATTCAAAATGGGCAAGCAATGAATACGATGAATCCAAGATACGAAGGAATGAACAATGTCACTGCTTTAACATTTGCCATGATTTAAAAATATATTTTTTCTTATATAATATTATAATTCTATACTTAGTGGTTTAAGTGGTTTTCTAGGTACTGAAGCGGCATTAGTCAGAATGTCAAAGCAAAACAGTAGTAGCAGAAATACCCGTTCAAGCCAGGATTATAGGATGTGAGACACAACCAATGTTTGACGGTTGCTGCTTGTGTATCGATTATTTCGTGCCAAGACAGAGAAGTAGACCAAATTGTAGATCAGAAGTAAAATGGATACAAGTACGAACGCAACTATGTTGAATCTAGTGAACTTTGGCACTTTAATTTTGAAAATCGATCAAGATCTAGTAGATCTACATACACCAATTAAATTACTAATAGGAACAATTCAGAAATAGCATTTACCGATTCTTGATCCACACAAAATTAATTTCAAGGTCGAAATATTCACTTGAGTGGAAGAGTAGTTACTTGGCTTTGCGCATGTAACTAACCTTCTCGGTGGCCGGAAAGTTACCATGGCAAGAAAAGGATTCTGGCGTTTAACAGAATTTTTATGATGCGCGCATGATATGCAAAGAGGTGATAGAATAGGTAAAGGTGCTAGTTGGACGATGATAAAGTGAATCATCCAAATAACCAATCCATGCCCCTTTTGGGACATCACTTGCGTGCGAGCGTCCTTTCAAATAGGCTTCACTTACGCCTCCGTAATCACTGTTCTACGCGTGGAAAGTGGCGTTTATTCAAGCATTCGATAGTTTTTATTTTAATTAATCGATTGTTTATCTGAAATTGCAATCTGTTTGGTTTAAAGAGTGAAATCTTCAAGTTTATAATCTTTTTTCATTAATGTGTTCTGGATTGGTAGTTTGTAAAAGTTTTACTTGGTTAATAGGAGTTATTTGTGAACATATCTACTCCAGAAACGAAATAAACAAATATAATGATGTCTAGATAATAAAGGCCGGGATTGCGTATTAACCTTGATGCAGACTAGACGCTTGATTGTGGTGTTTTGAAAATGAAGCGATAAGTATCAGATCAAGAAATTCCGAAATTATTTATCCTAGAAAAATATGATTTTAGCTCAATGTTTAAATGATTACATTAAATATATTATATATTTTGAATTTCAAATTTTTGCGATAGTATTCAATACAACAAGTGTGTTAGGTTAATTTGGTCTTCAAAAAGTTATATTTCAAGCCTTCGCTTAGAAGTTGTTAAATAAATTGCTTTATTAAAGCAACTTTCAGTTTCGTTTGTTGTGTATTTTCTTTACCATATTTCGACATGCAAACAATATACTAGTTTCGTTTTTTAGGATAATTATGGGGAGATACAAGGTGTGAAGTATCCTTTGTTTTAATCGCACTTTCAAAACACTTTGCAAGTGATATTTAATAAATAGAACTTCTTTTTCATAAATAAAATACCTAAGTTTCTGAATGAAAATCAGTTGTTGTTGTTTCAAATGGCAGGCGTTTTGATAGATATCATTAGCCATTTAGCTGACTTCGGTCTTCACAGAGGGAAGGTCCATCAAAGTAGCAGAAAGTCGAGGGGTGGGGAACAGAAGAGCGATTCACAGATGTAAAAGAGGCAGACAGACACAAAGGTAGAGAAAAAAGGAAGGTGAGTACTATGAAAGGGGTCGAATATGACAACCAGGGGGGGGGGGTCGTGGTAGTTGGAAGTCAGAATTCAACTGCCGGTTTGTAGACTTTTTTGCCGTATGAGTATACGTTGCCCAGGGTGCACCACGTGGAGGTAAGTCTATCGCACACCCCGAATGAAAATCAGTAAAATACATTGTTGGCTTTCTATTTAAGAAATACTTCCAACAAAATATTCATGATGGTCCAGAAAGCATAAGTACCGTATATTTCGACACTTAAATTTATTGGTAAACAATAAAGGCACCATTAACGATATCAGTCGTACTCAAAGAGCACTTTTTCATTTGTTTAAACATGTAGATCTATGTAGGATGATGCACTGAATTCTGGATACTATGGCCTAGATATTGGAGAGGTTTCCTTTCAGTTAAAGTTGACAGTCCAATGACGATAAAAACAGATCTGTGGTTTCAAGAAAGGTTTGCGTTTGTTCATCTTTTCTTTAACCTGCATTTCACAACTTGGTTTAAGGTTTTCTGTCAGTAGAAGAACGCGCACATTTGTAGTGACCAAGGCGCCACAATATTTGTAGTGACAACACGCCTATCTTTAGAGCTATAGTGCTGTGTTATTAGTGATTAACATTAACCATATATATTTCGATTACCTACAATAGACTTTCCTCGGAAAGCTCTTCGTTGTCGCCTCGCGATAGCCATCACCGTAAATTTCGTCAATTACCACGATGTGGAAGAGGCTCACGTGGAAGAAATCTCTGGCGTGGCTAGCATTTTCAATCAACCCTACTTTGCCCAAATCTCCAAAAAAGTAGGCATTGAACTGGAGAATCTCGTCTACTACAAAGATGAGACCCATTACTTCGTTATGACCATTAAAAAGAAGTCTCTTCTGCAAAGGGGTGTTCTCATTAGGGTGAGTAAAATCGAGTTTTTTCCTACTCTCTTTGTGAAAGATAGTCTTTATCTTGTTGATAAAGTCGTGATAATCTCCTTCCTTCTCAACATAGCGATTATTGAATCACGATTTCTTATCTTGCCATTGAGTTTAGACTAATAGAATCATATTTCCCGTCTTAGCCCCACTTCTCCATAATGCATCTGTGCATTTTTTCTTGTTATTGCATTTTCTCACCGCTTATTATCATATTCTCCCGATTTCATATCAGTTCAATCAATTCTCTTCAGCCTTGGGATAGGCAGTTGTCTATTTATAGTGTTTATGTACATCATTGGTTCTTTAGGAAGATTTGCTTTAGGGTGGTAATTAGCATTCCTACCCAGGGCTTTAATCAATCCTCATAGTGCACGTGGGGGGGGGGGGCTCTCTATTTTTCCCGAGGATCAAATGTTACTAAGCGGATTAAACGCATCTTTTTATATCTCCACCGCTATTACTGTTTGTGTTGTCACTTATGTAAACTATGATGCCCATTTTAAAGGGAGAATAAATCCACATTTCTAATAATGAATTCATCCCATTACTGTATTAAGAATTTGCACTTGTTTATGCACAACTTGGAAGTGTGAATTAGCTTGGAATTATGCTATTTGGTTGAGCTAATTCAACGAAACGCGGTTTTCAGATATAAGAGCAGTTTTCAGATGTTCAACCTGCCTTATCTGGTGTTTATGTTCTGGCTTTTGATTTTTCTTCCTCTTAACTCTTTGCAGTTAAAGCAAATCAATAGCGTCGATTCGTGTATAGGATGACGACTACACGCGAAATATGGTTTTGAGTTTGAAATTCAGTTAATTGAGAATTTTAAATCCTAAAGTGTCTGCCAAATACATTTAAGGTTCCTATAATTAATTGCGAGTCAATTTGGGGGGGGGGGGTCTTATCGATTGCCTGATTCTCCCCTCCTTGCCCTGCGGTTGAACACTGCTGTTCCCCCGATAAACAGTTTCAATCTCTCGTCATTTCTGGCATTTTGCTATCTATCTATACGTTTTTTTGGATGTCGAAAGGGTTAGTTTTGTTTAACTTGCAAGCGCATCGAACAAAGTTATATCATTGGTAATTTGACGTGTATGTATGAATTCAAAATGTCGACATATCTTTGCTTATTATGCTTGCTTGCTTACTCGGTGGAAAAATAATTGTAAGCCACAAAAGTAGGCCAAGGGCGCTTCGACCCCACCAGCACTGAAGCATGGATCAATGGGGTAGCTTGTGTGTCGAGGTACACCCATCTTCATGAATCCTGCTTCAACAGAGGTTATTGTCATTTGTGGCAAAAGAGTGGTCTTTTTACCATCGTAGTTCATAATTCATAAATCCTACCCTTCTTAACTAATGCCTTGCTTAATCTATATATTCAATATTTATTTCAAATGGCAGGCGTTTTGATAGTTATCATTAGCCCTTTACCTGACTTCGAGCTTCACAGAGAGGAGGAGGAACATGAAAGTGACAAAAAGTCGAGAGGGGGGACAGAGTAATGATTTAAAGATGTAAAAGAGAGACCAACAGACACAGAGGCAGAGAAAAAGTAAGATGAGTACTGTGAAAGGGGTCA